CATCCATAAAAATTAATGAAATCTTGCCATTTGTGACAACATGAATGGACCTAGAGAGTATGATACTGAGTAAAATAAGTCAGACACAGAAAGGCCAACACCATATGCTATATCACTTATGTGTGGGATCTTAAAAACAAAGTAAATGAGCAAACAAAACAGAAACGAAGTCTTCTGTAGAGAGAATAAAGCAATGCTTGCCAGATGGGAAGGGGTTGGGGAGTGGGTGAAAAGAATTACAAAGTGTAAGCGGCCAGTTATAAGCATGGCCACGGGGAGGTGAGGCACAGCATGGGGAACAGAATCAAGAACATTGTAATAACTGTACATGGAGCCTGAGGGGGTCCCAGACTTATTGGGGCGATCCCTTTGTAAGTTATAGAGATATCTAATCACTATGTTGTTCCCCTGAATCTAATATAATATTGTATATATTAACGGTAAACAACTTTTAAAAACATAGAAAAAAGAGTGGCTGTGCCATGAATCTGTAACTGCTTGTCAGTCACCCGAAGGAGTGCCTGTTATCCCAGGTGCCGGGGACGAAACCCCGGAAGCAGGAGACTGCAGACATCCCCGCGTGTGGCATAGCCACTGGGCTGTTTTGTTTGTCATCCAATTTTATTTTTCCTGCCTACCGAGTTTGCTGTGGATTTAGAAAGTACCTCTGGGAAATGCCTGGAGGTGTGTTTTGGGTAAAACATCTGGGGGTGTCAAAGTCATCTTCAAATGAAAATGCAGTCGACGCCCTGGAGACACAGCCCCTCATCCTGGCGGTGGGTGAAGCTTCTCTGTGCACCTCTGTCCCCACGCTTGGGCGAAGGAGGAGGAGGAGGAGGAGAAGGGAGGTAGCGAGCTGCTTGTCTCCTTCCAAACAGCAACAACATTCCTTGGCTTGACTGCTCAGTAATCCCGGGCCAGCTGGCTGCCTCCCTCTCCGCTGGGAATGCCGTGAATCTCACCTCCGCACACTTGGCCCTGGAAGCCCCAGGGCTGGAGGCCTGCATCTGCCAGCTCCCGGGAGCTGCAGCCAGCCAGCCTCCGGAGAGGATCAACGGGCCTTCACAGCTGCAGGGGGAGAACGCCGACCCGGGGCCGCTGGCTTCACAGCCCACAGGCCACCGGGCTGCTTGCATGGGCAGCCTCCCTGTCCCTCTCCGGGCCTTCTCAGGCGCCGAGGTCCTTAGATCAGCCCTGGCATATGCGCTGGGTTCTCTCTCATCCCCCCCTCCTCTCGCCCTGGCCTCAGAGAAGACAGATCTCTACCTCCTAAGCTCTCCAGCGGGTACTTAGGGCTTCAGCACACGCAGGAGTGACACACGGGGACACACAAACAGTCCCAGACTCACTCCAGGGGAGTTATCCCAACGTCCAGAGACACAGAGAGCAGGGAGAGGGGTGCCTGCTGCCAAGTCCCGCTCCCCACTGGCAGGCGGAGCACACACTCCAAGACCAGACAAGGGCAGGTCCTGGGGCGGCTTCTCTAATTGGAGTGACTGACGGGAAGTGTTTCTGTAGATTAGGGGTGTCGAACTCAATCAGAGAAGGGGCCAAAATCTAAAATCCAGCCTAAATTGCGGGCCGAATGGTTTACTGAACAGTCATAAACTGTCATTGTAATGGAAACGCAGCGGAGTGCAGTGATGACAGCGCAGTGCGGGCCACATTGCAAGGCCTGACGAGACGGATTTTGCCCGCGGGCCTTGTGTTTGACACATGTGCTGTAGATGGAGCTTCGGCAAGAAGCCTGTGAGACCCAGCAGAGCAGGAGAAAATGTACAGCCAACCAGGCAGCATCTCGCCCTGCTTGGGAGGGCTCAGCCAGCCCGAGGCCTCCTCTCTGAGGGGGGTGAAGGTAGGGGGAGGGGGGACAGTCACACTGGCCCCGAGTGCTGCTGGTGCCCCTTGCTGCTTGGTCACAGCCCTGCCAGGCCCCCTGTCACCGCTGGCTCAGCCAGGCTGGGAAGGCGCCCGCAGAAGAGAACCTGGGGCAGGAGGGAGGTATGGCCAGAGACTGCAGTGGTAAGACTGAGGCATTAACCAGCTACTTTAAAAAATATACGTATTTTTATTGATTTCAGAGAGGAAGGGGTGGAGGGGAGAGAAACGTCATGGATGAGAGAGACACATCGACTGGGTGTCTCTTACATGCGCCCCTACCAGGGCCAGGGATCAAGCCTGCCACTGAGCTATGTGCCCTTGACGGGAATTGAACCTGAGACTTTTCAGTCCGCAGCCCACGCTCTACCCACTGTGGTAAACCGGCTAGGGCCCTGTTACTTTATTAAATAAACAGTCATGTAAACGTAAAGGAAAATAACCCCCAAGCGCTGCTCACTGGGAAATCCAATGAAGTTTCCTGCCTACTTGGCGAAGAGCTAGAGACAGAAAGTCCGGACGATGGGACCTGGTCTGCCCCAGCACTCCACTGCCTTGGGGCTTTGCTGACTGGCCGGAGCCTGCCTCCTGGAGCCGGGAAGAAGCTGGGGCAGAGCCTGCAGGGGTAGAGGGGGCCCCTTGCTGGCTCGCTCTCCTGCTCCCCAGGGGCAGGGCAGCCTGTGCTGCTCCAAGGGCACCCCCCTCCAACTCCCCCTTCTCTCCAGGTGTTACCCACAACCACTGCCAAAGGCATCTTTTAAAGCTATTTTCCCTGAAAAAATAAAAATAACCTTCTACCCGTGTCTTATGCCCAGTAAGTCCAATCTGGATCCCTTAGTGCTGTGGTCAACAAACTCATTAGTCAACAGAGCCAAATATCACCAGTACAACAATTGAAATTTCTTTTGAGAGCCATTTTTTTAAAAAACTTAAACTTCTCTAATGCCACTTCTTCAAAATAGACTCGCCCAGGCCATGGTATTTTTGTGAAAGAGCCGCACTCAAGGGGCCAAAGAGCCGCATGCGGCTCACGAGCCAGTTTGCCCACTACGGCCCTAGTGAAATAGCAATGAGTATTTACTCTCTGCTCCATGCTGTTCCATCCTATCACCCGCTCCTTGCCTCACTCTTGGCTCATTCTGTTCTCTGGCCTTCCTGACACCGGCCAGACCCCACTGCATTGTCAGAGGCCAATGTCATCTTTGGATCCCCTCAGCTTCTGACCTCCTGTACCCATACCACACATCTGGCGAAACCCACTCTCATGCTTACACCTCTCTCTCTCTCTCTCTCTCTCTCTCTCTCTCTCTCTCTCTCTCTCTCTCTCTCTCTCTCTTTATTTTTTAACTTGTTTTATTGATTTTTCGCAGAGAGGAAGGGAGAGGGATAGAGTTAGAAACATCGATGAGAGAGAAACATTGATCAGCTGCCTCTTGCATACCCCCTACTGGGGATGTGCCCGCAACCAAGGTACATGCCCTTGACTGGAATCGAACCTGGGACCTTTCAGTTCGCAGGCCAACGCTCTATCCACTGAGCCAAACCGGTTTCGGCCACCCCTCTCTCTTGTCCCTGGACAGATGATCTGTCTGTCCCACAATCCAGTTAGTTCCAATGCTTGCTCCATTTTCCTTAGTACCAGCTGCCTCCTGTCCTCTCCTCTTTCCTATTAGATAATCAATGGGGTTAAGCCGAGATTATATTTGGAATAATCAATACAATATAAAGTAAAACCAAAGGGGAAACACTACCATGGAAATAAAGAGAAGACCCTGGCGGAAAAGGGGATAAGTATGGCAATTTGGCAGTGGGTTAAAATTTTCCCTTTATTCTTCTATTATAGTCTCTGAATTCCAAAAATTACTTAAAATACATCTTTATTTTTTTAATAATGTGTCTTTATTGCTTTTAGAAAGGGAGAGGTATAGAGACAGAAACATCGATGAAAGGTAAACATCATCTATCAGCGGCTCCCTGCACGCCCCCTACTGAGTGGAGATAGAGTCTGCAGTTAGGGCATGTGCTTTGACTTGGAATCGAACCAGTGACCGACCTCTTGGTTCATGGGTCACTGCTCAACCACTGAGCCCAATCAGCCGAGCTAAAATACATCCTTAGGAGATACCATTGGCATTGCAGCTGCACCCCTTTGCCTCAGACTCTTCCCCCTTCCTGTCCTTCGCAGGAGGCATCTTCTAAGCAAAGCTGACTTGTACCTGCGTGCCTGCTCACAGACCCATTCCCCATTTTCCTTTCTATTAGTCTCATTTCTTATTTATTTTAACTTGCTGCATGGCATGCATCTTCCTAAGCTGAATATTGATATCTAAGGCTGGGCACACATTCCTTTTTTCTTTCTTTCTTTCTTTCTTTCTTTTCTTTCTTTCTTTCTTTCTGAATTCATTTGGACACATTATGTGAGGGATCTAGTTAAAAAAGCAAAGAATTTGGGGTCTATGGGAGAAGGTTCTCCCTTGTGATTAAAATAATGTGAAGCGTCCCTATGTCAGGGAGGGGACAGTTCCCTGGGCCACGTGCAGGCCACCTATGCAGGCGAGTGCATGAGGCCCTGGCCATCGCTGTGGCCCTGAGATACCACCAGTGCCCTTGGCTGCTGGCTGCAAGGACACCTGCTGCTGTTCGGACAGAGGAAAGGGCCCGTTTGGAGTCCATTACAGAAACCTGGGGAATACTGACAGGAAAATAGCAGGCAAATGAGGTGAGCAGTTTAACCTTCACCTGAAGCCAGTTATTAAAAGCCTTATCCCATGTCAAATTTCCTGTTGATCAGTGTCCTACCCTAGACCCTTTGAAATGGGAGGATAATATATAAAAGAGGGACACATTCAGCTGTTGGCCTCTGAATCCCATTTTAGGTCCTTCCGCAGAGAGCTTGGCAAACCATCACATGAAGAAAAACCGATCCTGGTTGCAAGCGGTGTGTCCAGGCGCACACCTCACTCGCACTAGCAGGAATGTCAGCATCTCCTCCGCCTAGAGACGAGGGACCCGGGTCTCTGAGCACCAGGGTGCCTGGCTTGCTGTGTGTGGGGGTCTGGATTTTCCCAAGGAAAGCACTCTTTCCATCCATCTGTGCATTAAATAGGCAATACACTAACATGTTCAGTACAAAGAGTTTTTTTTTTTATTGACATCGTAAGAAACATGGTTCTTTCTCTTTGTTACAAAAGGACTAAGTGGTTCTGAAAGCAAAATTCGAGTCCATCGGCGGCGGCTGCCCTCCGGGCTGGAGGTGGGCGTGGGGGCATCGCTCTGGAGGTGGGCAGATGCCAGGGGGGCCCGGGGCCGACCACGTTCGGACGCTATGCCTACAATACTTAAATGTATTTACACGTCTTTCTTTTAAAAAAGGATTACATGTTTTATTTTTTTTAAAAATCTAAAAAAGGTGAAAAAAATGAACTTGTACTTTATCTTACACGTTTGCGGGATACACAACAGTGACTTGTCCGAAGAGAACACCCTCCTATCGGTTCAGAACAACACGGGGAACCAGGTCACGAGACAGCTCAGACTCCGCTACCATGGCTACAGGCGTGTGCTCTCCGCTGCTGGGGCGCATGCGGCCTTGAATTCTGATTTGGGCAACACCAAATGGTCCCTGGCATCGACACGATGAACACAAAATAAGGCACGTACATCGCAAGAATCAAAACTCTGTGGTTCGGAGGGTGAGCCCTCGTGTGAGGAGCAGGGCACATTGAACGAGTCTCTAATCCCTTCTTTAGAAAACAAAGATAGTTTGACATGTGAGAACACGTTTAACAGAGACATGAGACAGGAACGCCATGCAGGAGCCTTCAGAACAAAGGAGGATGTGACAACAGTGACTCGGCGGAGAGAAGGCTGGAGGTGCCACGCCTACTGAGATCCACATCCTGACAGGACACGTCTCCATGGCCCCAGAAGACGTTCCTGCCACTGACGGTCACAACAGACCCGTCGCTCTGGGATCTCCAGATGGAGAGGAGTCACATGCTGCACCGGAATGGGTCTCCTGCAACATCTCAAGGCAGGAGCAAGGAGAACACGTTTTCAGAAACTGGGCAACCCGGAGAATCACTGGAAGCCGGAAGAAAAAGCAGAGGCACAGATGATAGGAACTGAGAAACTGGGGTCCCATCCAGCAACTCCTGAGGAGAGCACTCAGGCAGAGGAGAACAGAGATTGGACGAAACCACAAGAACAGGGAAGATAAGGCCAGCATCCCTCTGGTGGTCTTGGGGACACCAGGGGAAGGCAAACCCCGCTGCCTTATTTACCTCCGCGCTGAGGTTCTTGGTCCAAACCAGAGAACGTAAACATGAGAAACACGGGCTGGTCCTCACATTCCTTCTGTTAACTAACATATTATTGTGTCCGATGTTGCCTTTCTGAAGCTCATGTAAGGGGCAGGAATAAAGGGGAAAAGCCACACCATGGAACCATGAGTCACTTTGGATAAATCCAACTCCAGGATCAATGTGGGAAGAACACAGCAGATAGTCTCAGGGGTTAACATTTTAATAGTTGATCTACTTTTAAAAGTATAACGCTGGATCATCCATGTACCCCGTGCACACACAGTATGTTCTTTATGTGTCTCCACTGCACATAGGAAGTAGCTACATTCTTCTAATCGTTTAATCCAGTGGTCGGCAAACTCATTAGTCTACAGAGCCAAATATCAACAATATAAGGATTGAAATTTCTTTTGAGAGCCAAATTTTTTAAACTTAACCTTCTTCTAATGCCACTTCTTCAAAATAGACTCGCCCAGGCTGTGGTATTTTGTGGAAGAGCCACACTCAAAGGGCCAAAGAGCCGCATGTGGCTCGCAAGCCGCAGTTTTCCAACCATGGGTTTAACCCAAAACAAAAGGGCAGACTGAGCCCACAGGAAGGCTTCACTGCAGAGAACACTTAATTTTTTAAATGGAGGCAGCATTTGACCGACAGGATATAAAAAGGCATCCACACAGCTGCTAGTCTCTCAAATACCAAAGATGGTCAAAGCAATTTAATCCCATTATCATTGTGCGTGAGCGTTTCCCGTTACAAGTAAATTTTATAAATCCCTGGAAATAGGGCACTTGGAATAGAAGCAGTCCTTCCCTACGTTAGGGACAGCCGGCTGTGGGGTTGTACTTAGCACTACATATAATCCATTCTCAGTTATCTAGGATAACGGTAAAGAGATGGGACTGATCAACAAGTATGGCAAACCTACAAATATTCCCCAAACTAGTTAATGCTATGCAACAGCTCCAACCTACAACCCACCTAGCTTCTCACGGGAACAGAAGAAAGAAGCAGCGTGACTGTTTGCCATCCACCGGCTTTCTGACCCCTCCCGGGAGGCTGCATGGCACTGAGCACTCATAGAGAAACAGGCAAAGAAGATAACCGAGAGCTGACCCTTCCGACCTGCCCCCCACCCTCCCAAGCACCCGATGGACAGGAAGAATTTTAAACCTAAACTGTGAGCAAATGACTGACCAGGAGCCCCAAGTTTCCACTTGTGGCAACTGTCAACAGTATGCCCTGAACTGAATTGGGGTGAAGAGGGGATGTCAAAACATCTGTATTCTATGCGACAATTCATCCACAAAAGATTCTTAAACTCACTATCCATTCTTGTGCCCAACGTGGGAATTTAAAAAAAAACACACACACACAAACAAACCAACAAGAAACGAAACAGACAATGGGCAAGTGGAAAGGACAGTCTAAAAGGTGAAAGCAAGCCTTTGGCCAGAGGCTTACCCACTCCCGCTTCCTGTGAGTCACAGAGGAACATGTCACACCCTTCCGTCTGACCTCTTCGAAACGAAAGAACATGCACATCGCACATTGATACTGGTTTACTGATAAAGGGGGGCAGACTCACAGGATTTGTTTGTGTGTGTGTGCTTGTGTTTTGTTTTGTTTTTTAAAAAAGGGGGGACGTTTCGAGTGTCACAATACTGATTCAAACTGAAATGGAAGACAGTCTCCCTAGAATACTTTAGGGTTTTTCAGAGTCCTTTTCCATAAAAGGAATATACTTGAAACACATCCCAAGATGTGATATGAGATTGCTAAAATACATACAGAACTAAAAACAACAACAAAAAAACAACAGAAAAAAAAATGACTCAATGTAACCACTTAAACTCCTAAAGTTTCACGTCCATTGGCAGTCCTTCTCCCCAGCGCCTACTGCATAACTGCAAGGAACTTGCTTTCCTCCGCGAGGGAGGTCAGCAGAGAGCTCATGTCCCCGATGGCCATGTTGGTGGTGCTCACGGACAGCGCGGGCAGCGGCAGGGCTGTCCGTGGCGTGGTGAGGCGGGAGGAGCTGTGGGAGAGGTTCTGGATGATGCTCGGGCTCAGCGCTCCGGACATCAAGCTGGCGTGGTCCCCATCGTCGATGATGGCGTCGAAGTCGATCTGCACCCCTTCCAGGTCGTGGCTGTCGAGGCTGTCCACGGTGCTCGTCACCTGGTTGGCGCCCGGGGACAGCAACTCCGAGCTCTCGGTGCCGGCCCCCTGCAGCAGGCAGCTGGCTTCGGAGAGGCAGAACGAGCCAGTTTTCAGGTCTTGCGGACTGAAGCCGATGGTGTGGTCATAGAACTGACCGGAGTAACTCTGCACGTTGGAGCAGAGCGGATGGGGCTGCCCTTGTTGTGTCTCCATCTTGATGCCGTTGACCCTGCAGGTCTGACTGGTGTCGCTGTGCTGTCCTGGTGGCGGCAGCGGCTGCAGAGCGAGGCTGCCTCTCGGCACGACCTGGCGCCTGCTGCCTCCGTAGCCTGCGCATGGCTGGTAGTCCCTGACGGCTGCCAGGCCGGACGGCTGGCCCCCGAGGCCGGGAGGCCCTGGCAGGCTGCCTTCTGGCCCTTGATAAACATTGATGTGTGAGGTAGCGCTAACCTGCCCCAGCATGGGCTGCCCGGGGCGGCCTGCCCCCTGGTGGTGCACGCCGTCGCTGAGCATCGGATGGGCCAAGTACCCCTGCCCCACCGGGTAGCGGGTTGGCACGCCATTCACGGAGCTGCCGGCGGACTCCCCGGGCAGCATGGGCAGGCTGAAATCTGGCTGGCTCCCATTCCCCTGCAGGGCGGCGCCTCTCAGCTTGGCCGCGGGAATCCCAGCACCAGTGGCCCCGTCGAGCAGGCCGGGGGCACCGGGCTGCCTGCCGAGGCAGCTCCCGTACTGCGGGACCTTGTAGGGCTGTTCGTGGAAGACAGTTCTGCTGGCGCCAGTCCCGCCGCCACCGTGGACAGCCAGGTGCTCGGGCCCGCCATAGGTGCCGCAGTGCTCCCCGGGGCCCGGGTAGACCCCCGCCGGGCCGGCCCCGCTCCCCAGGGGGTTCTGCGGGTGGACACCCATGTTGGTATACCCCCCGAAGGCCCGCGCCGGTTGCACTGGGGCCCGCTGGCCGCACTTGAGCCTGGAGGAGGAGGAGGAGGAGGAGGAGGAGGACAGGTCGGCGCTGCCCGAGCTGACCTCGTTCCACTGGATGGGCAGGTCGGCTTTGCTGGCTTCGGGGCAGGGCTGCTCCAGCTCTCGGTACTGCTGGCCGGCGGCGTGGCTATCGGGCAGCCCGGGCTGGTCGAAGTCGCCGTGCCTGGCCCCCACGCCGGGCCCCGGGGGCGCTTTGCGGTCGTCGGAGAGGGCGCCCTGGAAGTGCTGCTCGAAGCCAGCCTGGCTCTGGGCGTTCAGGTACTGCACCACGTCGTCAGGCAGGAGGTCCTCATCGCTCAGGCCCACGTCGGCGTCCATGGTCAGGGACTCCAGGGGGACGTGCTCGGCGATGCTCGGGGGGCAGGGGGATGCTCGGAACTGGCGGGCCGGCCCGGCCTCGGGCCGCGTGTAGTTCTGCAGCACCAGGTTACGCTTCTCCAGGGAGGGGGGTGGTGGCGCCGTCGGGGCGCAGCTGCTGAGGCTGCTGAACCGCTGCACCCGGGGCAGGGACAGGCCCTCCGAGACCGTCCTCACCGGGTCGCTGGCCCTCCTCACGCCGTGGCCCAGCGCGTCCTGGGGCAGCAGCGGCCGCCGGCCGTAGAAGCCGTGGGCTCCCCCGTCGCTGCACCTGCGGGGAGGGTGGACGGGCGGCAGGGTGCCCGCCGGCTCGCGGCCGTCCCCGAGCAGGGCCATCCTGGTCTTCAGGCTCATCCTTTCCATGTTGGGCAGCGGCGTGGGCGGGGGCCCGCCCGTGGCGGCCGCGTACGTGGCCTTCAGGCGGTACTGCTGGGCCGGCGTGAGGCTGAGCAGGCTGGGCAGCCCGTCGCACTGGCTGGCCTCGCTGGACCGGCGGGAGGCGTCGGTGGAGATGGGGTCGTAGGAGTCGGCCACGCTCACGTTCTGGGGCCGGCCCTCGGCCTGGGACGCCTCGCTGGACCTGCGGCTGGAGAAGCAGGGCGAGATGCCCGAGGAGCGGCGGCTGCTCAGGTAGGCCGAGCTGATGGTGCTGGTGCTGCTGTCCCTCCGGTTGAGCATGTTCAGCATGGTGACGTCCGCCCCGGAGGAGAGGTCGCTGCGGTTGGGGAGGAGGGTCATGGGCCCGCCCACACTGCAGCTGTTACCGGGCTGGGTGCCTGCGGAGGAGAGAGTGTGGGAGAGGTGACTTCATTTCGGGGCGGCTTGATCCGGGACTCAGCAGAGGGGGCGAGGGCCAGGGGGGAACTGCTGCCAGGCAGCCTCTGTCACAGGCACCCACCTTTGCCTGGCTGCACCGAGAGCCACAGGCGCCCCGGAGGAGTGAGTTTGGCTGGAGGCCAATAAAACTTTATTTACAAGCTCACGGGCAAGTTCTGGGGCCCTTGGTTAGACCAAACAGTAGGGACTGCCTGGATCAGTTCCATTCCTCACAGGCTGAATGCAAGGACAGAGCTCAAAGCTCAGGCACGTACACAGCACTGAGGTGACAGGCACGTCTGTAAGCCAAAGGCATCATGGGACATCACATCCACACTCAGGGCTCCCTATGGAACCGAAACACATAACCTTCACCCTTGGGGGTGCTCCAGGCATCCAGTGTTACCTCAGATGCAAAAACTGACCTGGGCGGACAGTGCCAATGGTTGCCTGCCTTTCCCTGAACTGGACAAACACCAGGAAGGTGGCTGTTAGCCTCCTACTTTTAGAAGCAAGGGACAGGCACTGACCACAGGTGCCTCTGCTGTTGGCATTTCTTCACCTGGTCTCACCGTTACTATGTCAACATCAGAGCATGAGTCACACGCAGGCTTACTTTTTGTGTCAGCATTATCCTTTTAAAATATGGACTCCCCATAGATTCCTATGTCTGACTGCATAGTCTGCTGGGAAAGTCAGCAAACATAAAGCCCAGGGCCGGTTCCTCTCACAGCGTTGTGGCTGTGTCTAAAAGAATCGAAAACCCTGAGCAGGAACACGGTCTGAGCCGGAACTCACCGTTTCCTATGAGAGGAGAGACCGCAGGGGCTTTGGGGGGGAGGACGGGGTTCAGTCTCGGGAGCATCCCGTTCACTTGTTTGAGCCTTTCTAGCTTGATGTGCTCCATCCATTTGGTCCCTGCCGGGTTTCTCCTGGCTTGCAGAGCGAGGGCTGTGGTTGCAGTGGAGATGGTCGAGTCCATGATCGGGGTTTCGTCGATGGCACCGAGGTCCCCCACGCCACCTCCTTCGCTCAGAGGAAGGTCGAGCCCACTGTTGGGATAGTTGCTGATGGGGGACTGTTGGCTGCTGCATGAAGACTGACCACCAGGGCTTGGCTGAGATGTCTGTCGGGGCCAAGAGAAGAGGGAAGAAACATTACTGGAGAGGAAAAGAGAGAGGGAGCCAAGAGTGAGATGATGCAGATCAAGGCGTGCACTGGCAGACGGGGGTAACCTTCCTCGCCTACAATGACCCACAATGAGTGATGAGCCACCCCATGGAGACGCAGTGGGGAGCAACGGATGGCAGGGAGGGCTAGAAGTGGTGTGACTGACATGGTGACAACCATGCACCCTGTCCAAACGCCAGCTCTGCAAACACACCGCCTGGGCTCCCGTCCCACTTCCATGACTTTATGCTTGGGGCAAATGACTTAGCCACTCTAAACCCCGGATTTCCTTATCTATAATAATAATAAAAGCGCAATGTACTAATTAGACCGGACGTCCATCGGACAACCTTCCGGATAAAGCCGGGGCTGCGAGGGAAGCCCGGGTCCCGGGTGCCAGCAGCCAGGGGAAGGAAGGCCTACTCTTGCACGAATTTCCTGCATTGGGCCTCTAGTCTATAATATAAAGACATGTTATTTACCATAGAGATTGTTGTGAGAATTAAGTGAGAAGCCCTGAGAGCACACTAAAAGAAAAAAGAAAAAAAAGCCTGGGTAATGGGAACTGATAGGCTCAGAGAGCTGCAGCGGTAATTATCCTAGTTTGTATTAGTCCTTGGGTTCCTACATACCTGGGCTAACATATACCTGGAAGACATACTCATAAGCACACACTACCCCCTCCCTGTCTAGAACCCCACCAAGCTATTCAGGGAGGGTTTGCCAAACTATTTGTAATCTCTCCCCTTCCTTCTACACGTTCCCAAACAGCAAGAGATCTCCGGGGAGAGAGAACTACTGTGCACGCACTCAACTACCGACCCCTGCCGTCCCAGGTGGAGTGCACAGCGCTGTAAGGAGAGGGTTTAAGACACAGATTATACTTTTCCCGCAGCCACAGTACACACACCCGAGCAGACGAACACTTATCGAGTGAGTGCCGCATGATCCACTAAGTCTGTGCTGGGCCACCAAGCAGATCCAAGAGTGAAACACAAATCTGGTCACAAGTAAGACTTTCTTACGTTTTTGCTTCCGCAGTCTTGGCATGCTAGACCAACTGCTCTTGCCCCCGAGTTCTCGGAGGGAGCAGCCCGGATTTTGGGTGCCCTTGTCTCTGGATTGGCAGGTCAGAGTGTGTGTGTACGCGAAACTGTGCAAACGCACACAAGCACATGCAGACACAAGGGGCACGGGAGAAGACACAAGCGCACTTATAATTAGAAAACCAATTAAAGAGGCTGAAACAGTTAACTATGGATTAAATTTTTAGCAAGAAAAAAAAAAAAAAAAAAGAATGTATCCAGACCTTCCTCAAAGAAGGTGCTGAATGTCTGGTCTGGAGTCACACTCCTCGATATGGTAATTAAATAGTGTCTTAGAACATCTGCTTGGTCGGCCCCAGGGTGATTTATTATGAAAATCTAGACAAATGAAACAATGAACTTCACCATCTAACGCCACATGTCCACAGGCTAAATGTTCAAAACACAGTGCTTCTAGGTTTGAAACATGTCTGAGTGATGCTGTCTATCAAAGCAGTCACAAAGCACAAACACTAAAGGAAAAGGAAATGAACAAAAAATTAAATGTTAAAGTGAAAATGGGACAAAAAAGAGCAGAGAAGCCGAAATTCCCTCACCTTATTACCCACTGTCCTTAGGAAGTAAGAACAAGACATTGAGGAGCATTACACAGAAGGGGTGTCGGATCGGTAAGAAAAAAGAAGAAAGAATTTAATTTTTAGCATGATGATCAAATCAAAGACAGGCTTTTACAGAAAGACTATTAGAAATGCAAATCTCATGTGCATTAGTAAATGCCTATGAAGATATCTACTGATATCCCTAAGTGTGTGCACAGATACACACGTAACAGTCTTCTATGGGAAATGACTGATTCATTGACAACAAGAAGCCTCAGTTCCCTGACCTGTAAAACATGGGGCCTCATCTCAGCCTCTGCGATCTCTCTTCTGGTTCTAATGTTTCTAAGATTTAGTCACTTTATAAAATATTTTACATCTCATAATACCTCGATGTCACTTGACCGAACTGCTGTAAAAATGTTATTCCTACTTATTTTCTTAATTTTATTCCTACTTATTTATTCCTACTTATTGCAAATAATGGGTGTGTGGAGAGGAGATGATGAGTTTTATTGAGCCAGGAATACACATTAAAGGTACAAGAGACTCTGGGTTCTTAGGATTCCTAACAATGCAAGTTGTGTCTTTCGATGACATGATCTAAGAGACCACAAGTTCGCATTCCTTGTTTCCTGGAGCACTTGAGGATACACTGTGGAGTGTTCTGCACAATTGGTACACAGGCAGACTTTATTTCAGGAAGTTGATATGTGCTCCCAAGAAAAAGTATATAAAACACCGTTTATGACCTGGTTAAAGTACAGTGATCAGTCCTAATACAGATGTAAACTTTTTACTAAGGTGCTTTTTAAAAGCAATGTATAGCCACCCACCCAGTGGGAAATGATGATAAACCTGCATTATCTGCAATATGTGTGACCAGAGTTACTGTCATTAAGACTCATAAACCCTCAAAGACAAACTCACTAAGTCATTAAAATTCAGTAAAAGCCATTGACCTCTACTCCATTAATTCTGGAATTGCATGTGCATAATCTCCTGCCCATAAGGACTGCTACACTGTGACATCATTTGGGAATTCATAGGTGTCTATCTAATTGCCCGACTTTTCTAATCTTAAGAAAATGCTTCCTTGAGCCGAGTATAGGGTTGCCTGCTGGGTCATTTCCATGTGTCTGGAAGTCTAAGCATGTGACTTCTATCTGGTACCTTTCCTCTGCCTCCAAAGGGACAGACTACAACCCAACACATTCACAGAGCTGACTCCCTTACACACGTGGCCAAATGCCAGTGCACTGCCACTCCTCTGACAGCTACCTTTTTCAGTTTTCTTGTTGTCTTTTGGGAACTCTTAGCTGTTTTATTAAGGCACAGAACTATATAAAGCGAAATGGAGATAGAAAGAAGCTGTAACAGTAGCATAATCCACATATCCCATTCATCACTAAACCATAGAGGCATTTGCTGGTGGCCTTTCAACCCCACCCTTGCTCCCCACCTCCTTGAAATGGCCTCCAGTCCCCAGCATGGCACTAAAGCTGCAGTTTCTAAAAACTCAGCAGAAAAACATAATCCCTTATGTCCTCGTGCCTACTGTGCACTGCCCTGAGGTCCCACGCTGGGGCTTGCTATGCCAGGATCTGGCTGCTCCTTTTCCTGTCTGAGTGCTGAACTCGGCAGCACCTCTCCTCCTGCCTCCCCATCACATCCTCGAGCTGCACTGGTAGTTAGCTCCCCTCTCACACGTTCTTACACAGATGTGTGCTAAAGCCCCACCACACGGAGTTACATTTGTTTCTCTGGTCTGCCTACTCCACTGGATTATAAGCCCCTGAAGAATAGAGACACTGGCTTATTTAACTTGGAATGGCCAGGGCAAAGAAGACAGAACACGTGTTAACAGAAAGACCCAATGAATGATTTTCTACATTACAGTGAAAATGTAGACAATTGTGTCTTTCTATCCGCCATAAGGTGGTTCGGCTGCAGATCTACTCTCTAAAAACCATTTAGGAAACCCAGAAACTATTTTTTTTTTTTTAACTGAGTTCTCCGTAGAGCGACTCTGAGTAAGCAATCCAGATCACGGAGGTCACTGAGCTTTGACCTCCTTCAACCAGAGAGCTCGATGCAGAGAGGATGGGGGCAGTCTGTTCTCCCTCAGAGCTCTCTCCAGCTCCTGTGAAAGACCTAAGATCAGAAGGAAAGTGAATGACGTACCATGGGCTTCTCCGCCTTGACCGTTTTCACTTGGAGGCATTCCTCCCGCTTTGAGGTAGTGTTGCTGAGGTCCTTCTGCTCACCAAGGGCTCCCTGAGTCTGCCGCCCAGGTGACCTGGACTGGGAATGGCTGCCAGAATCCCGTGGTGGGGGGGGCCGAGGATGGATGTCCCCACGCTGCTTCTTGGTGACATGAGCCTCTGGGCCGTGCACTGTCTTCACGTGTTTCCGGAGAGAGCTGGGGTCTGTGTAGCGCTTAGTGCAGCCTGGGATTTTACACACATATGGTTTCTGCCAAATGCCACGAGAAGGAGATAACAGATTGTTAGGAACGTGATTATGCCCAAACCCAACAGTCTTTTGTGGTTGCTCATTATATTTTTAATTCTTTAAAAGCACTTCCATAAAGCTTTGAGGTATCCAAATACCTCTAAATGGTACAGAGGTTTAATCAAAGCCACTTGAACATTGTCCAGAGTCTAAAGGATCCAGCTTTAAGACATTAACGCTTTAGAGAGTGGTCAGGGAGAGCGAAGAACACACAAACTGCATTTATAATCTTGGAAACATTTATCCTTTGAGCAGGAAGAAGTATTGTAGTGTCCCAGTAGGTTCTGATGATGATGATGATGACAGAGGAAGGCATAAAAGAGACCCATCATTTAATCAGAAGAATGCTATATGCCTTTTGGGAGAGCTTGTGTGAAAAAACACATCTTATGGATGTCCTAGTTCTCAGCTCTGATATCACTCTAACCCCTTGAAAATGTGCTTTTTACACTTAGGCAGGAAAAAAAAATTGCCTACAGATTCGTCCGTGTTAGGTGTCATTAAAATCCTGTCCGTTGGGTAGCATTACAATTCTGTGGGGATGGTCAGGGTTCAGAATATCCAGAACCTTCCTGATCCTCAGAGCCGTAAAGCCCTATTAGACTTTCCATGAAAGCTCACTCCTACACTGAAAAGGGCTAAGAGATGGGGTCCTGGAGATGAAGATTCCTGGCCTGGCCTCTGCTCCTGCATACTAAGGTCTATAAGTTATTTCATTTTCTATGGGGGCCAGTGATCAAGTCTACAGCTACAGTCACAGAAATTACACGGGCGCATATTGCTGAATATTACTCAAATTACAGAATTGCTGGCATTGTATTCATGACCAATATTGGAATTATGAATTTGTTTACTTGACTTGAAATATATTCATGCATGCTTATATGAATATATACTTATATCTATATCTACATACCAGAAGATGAGCTTGAGGTAAGCAATAATCATAAAAACCATGATCAATATAATGCATCCATTATATCTAAAGAGATACCTTATCTTAGAGTGTATACATCTAAAAGATGCTTTTCCATTAAAAGCCCAAGAACAGATGGAGTGCTGCCTAAGATAATGATGAAAGGTCCTAATGTACTGAAGCAAGAATTATGAAAATCATCCTGAGAGACTTCACCTCCAAATTTGAGATTCTTCTGGGTGGAACTGATCCCATTAACTACGAATGACTTCTATTCAGGAGCTCCTGTGATTTGCAGCATATATAGGGAATATATATATATATATATATATATATATATATATATATATATATAAACACATTACACTCTTTGCATTAGGGACAGAAGAATGGCTCCGATGATTAGGGCTATTACCTTATAGTCCTCTGACATGGGCCCTATGCATGCTCCTGCCCGGCTATGACATGCGGCTCCATCAGCAGACAGCCTGGGCTGCTTGGGGCAGGAGTGTGGGGGATTGAGGAAGGTGGGGGACAAAGCCAGGTCAGGGTGATATGTTTGAAGAGCTATTCTTCCTATAAATATATGCATGTGGACACTATGGGTTCGCCTAATATAACATTGTATGTCCACTGTAATGGACAATTTTTCAAATTATTAAAAAAACTGTTCAACCTTGGTAAAAAGTATTATTAACCAAGATATCTTTTAATCTTATTATGCATATTAAACTCTTATTGGGCATGGCTCTTTCTACCTAACAAAAGAATAGAAGCTCAACTATAATATTCTTAATTACAGCAAACTTACATGTGTACATGTTTTAAAGTCCATAAAAAGATAAAAAGCTGGGTAGTAGGTTTATGTGTATGCACTGCTAATCCTAACGTACCCACTACTTAAATTTCTCCACAATAACAGGAGAGAACCTTGGCCTAAAATCCATAGGAATAAATACCCTCTAAGTTCCTAGTCAAAATGATACTTAAATATATTAAATGTAGTTAAATACATTAATTAAATTCTAAGCTCAGTTAATCAAATCCCCTAAAACATTTTAAGTAGAGACATAGTTCACATACTATAAAAAAATACCTTTTAAAAGATGCATAATTCGGTGTCATTTAGTGCATTCACAATGTTGTGTAAACATCGCTACTATCAAATTATGGAATATTTTCACCATCCTATAAAGAAACCCTCTACCTGCTGGCGCCTGGCAACCACTAACCTAGTACAGCAGATTACACTCACTACTGCACATGGTAAAAGCATTTTGACATAAAAAGGAGATGAAGCATCTTTCCTAAAACATCCTCAAACAGTTGGTCAATAATAAGATATTCCAAGTAGCGTTTCCTTATTCCACCTCGACCTTTCAAAGAGTAAGTATGTGAACCTGCATGTGTGAGTTTATGTGAGTGCTTTTTAGGGAGTGTGGTTGATCTCATTAAAGATGGGTTGTTGTTTTTTCTGCTGTTTTTGTTGATCCTCACCGGAGGATATTTTTCCATGGATTTTTTTAGACAGAGAGGAAGGGAAGAGGAGAGATAAAGAGAGAGAAATATTGATGTGAGAGAGACACATCGATTGATTGCCTCCCACATGGGCCCTGACCAGGGCTGGGGATGCAGCCTGCAACGGAGGCATGTGCCCTTGACTGAAATCCAATCCAAGATGCTTCAGTCCCCAGGCTGATGCTCTATCCATTGAGCCCAACTGACTAGGGCAGAGATAGTGTTTTGCTTGTTCAGTTCAGCTGAAAGGAAACTCAGGGAGGACCATCTTTGCCACCAAAGCCCATCACCAGCGAGCTGATGGCACACTCTGTTTTTAACCAGATTCCCTCTCTCAACTCTCCACCCAGAAGATCATGGATGAGCTTCACAGCACCTTAGGAGGGTCAGATGACAGTCATGCCAAGGTCAAATGCTCCTTCTTTCAGGCATTTTAAGCAAACTGCTGGCATACCTATGAGGCAGAGCTATTAACAAATTCTACTGAACTCTCCTATTTCTACCCAAACTATGGAAGCCTTTGTATTCCTCTCTGGATTCATTCAAGAGAAAGTTCACAGTGGAGCCAGAAAGAGCTAGATCTTCAAGAAGCTGGAGTGTGCAAGCAGTCATGCACGTACACAAAATGAACCTGAAATCATTTCCTTCCTATGCTTCCCTGAAATTTTGAGGGGTTAACTACCTAAAATAACAGCAACAGGACACACCCACTCACCAACCATGAAGCTAGACTCAGTATGTTACCTTACATAACTAACTAGAAACCATTTTGAGTTTCTGAGGATAACTTCCAAGACCTGTTGGAATACAGGATGTCTGGAAATCACATTTAGCCAAGGCTGGTTGCTTTGTAAAAGTCTTTTTTTTTTTTTTTTTTTTTTAATGTAATGCAGTGGAAGATACTACACCTGGAGAAAGCAAATAAAAATGGCTGTGTTAGTGGAAAGCTGCCACCAGCTATCCACATGTGGCTTTGGACTCTATGCCTGGTGCTCACAGGGTCATCCTTTTCATGGATTCATGCTATTCCGGGCCTAACAAGTGGATGGAACTCCAAGCTAAATGCTCCTACTGTTTGACCAGTAGGTAGCAGTTATGAAAAAAAAGTAGAACCTGTTTGCCAGTGGTTTTAAGAAGTTCCCTCTTCATCGGCATTCCTCTCCAAACCAGGCCCAGCTTTCAGCCCCAGCTCAAGGCCCCAGGCCTTCATCGGCATCATTGGTGCTCACGTGCTGGGAATGGTCACAGAGTGGGACGGGCTCAGCTCTCCCTCCACATATGGTCTCCACGAAGGTTCACTGTCTCTACCCACAACCTCTGGGCCCCAAGTGTGTCTCCTGGGGAAGCCTTACCTCATTGGAATGTGTTCTGTTTTGGTGCTTGGCACGATCAGAAGCATTCGAGAAGGCCTTGTTGCAACCTTCGTGCTCACAGACATACGGTTTCTCTCCAGTGTGAGATCTCAAGTGTGTTTTCAAGTTTTCGAGTCTCGAGTAGGCTTTTGTGCAACCTTCAAACTGAAGACAACAGGTAAATCTGGATTACTCCACACAATAACAGCTTATGCTTACCCTTCCCTCCAATTGGCGGAAGACTGACGTCTTTGAGGGTCAGCAGCTTTTCAAAACCCAAGCAACAAAAGTCCACTAAACTCTGCATTTATTGGGACTTAGTGCAGCTCGAGAGAAAGCATTGCAGTGCTCGTGAAAGTCATGGAGATCTTTTCTTAAGAGACCACTCAGGGCAGACAATGGGCTTCATTATCTGCTCATTGATCTCCTTGAATTCCCACTGATTTCGGATTCAGCACCAAGTTCATTATGTGGCTTTGTGTGTTTATAAAGGGCCTTTAAGATGTAAAGCATCAGGGCTGAGAGGTGTCCAGTGTGCCTGGCGGGCACCTCAGTGAAAAAAGGCTTGGCCTCCCAGGAGTCCCAGTCTACTACTCGTGGGTAGGTTTATACTGGGCCATGAGAACAGACTAAGAGGGAGAGAAAATACTCTACAACCATACAAGTTATATATATATATTTTTAAATCAACTTAAGTTTTTAAAATCATAGCTGGCACCGGCTTGGGCCCTCCAAGTCCTCTGACACAATGGCGATGGGCACTGGGGCAGGCCCTGTGTCTGTGTGCTCATTTCCAGTGCCCGCCAGTATGTCCCAGTCACCGTCTGCCCACTCGCCACTCTGCAGAGCTGCGCTGTCCATCCTGCTAGCCACAGGGGAATATTTATATTTAAATTTCCCCAAAAACAAATTTTAAAAATTATTTCTCTGGTTCTAGCCAACTCTCAAAAGCACACAAAAGCCCGGCCAGTATTACAATTTGATTCCCAGTCAGGACACAAGCCCACAGGTTATGGACTTGATCCCCAGTAGGGGGAGTGCAGGAGGCAGCTGATCAATGATTCTATCTCATCACCAATGTTTCTTATCTCTCTCTTCCTCTCTGAAATCAGTAATATATATATATATATATATATATATATATATATATATATATATATATATATATATGTGTGTGTGTATATATATATATATATATATATATATATATATATATATATTTAGAAAGTGCACAAGAGGTACATGTGGCTTGTGGCTACTGTGTTGGACAGTATACAACCATCTAGAACTCGTCCACCATCCCCCAAAGCTCAGCTGACAGCATTCTTTCTCCATTTCTTGCTTCTCTTCCATTTCAGAAACCACTTTGACAAACCACTGTATTCATCACAGACAGCACCCATCACCCAGCCATGCCACCCCTGAGCTGGACTCATCATGCACAACCCTGAGAGTATGGCAAAGGATCCATGGTCCGGATCCGGACACCCACAGGTGTGGGGGACCCCAGGCTGACAGCCGCACCGCCTGTGTACTCACAGTGCATTTGTGAGGTTTCTCTCCCGTGTGTCGTCTCATATGCACCACCAGCATGTACTGGGCTTTGAAGGGCTTCTGCTCTCTGGAGCAATCGAGCCACCGGCACACAAATTCCTTCTTCTCTCCATGAATATGGTCGTTATTTATATGCTGGGGGGTCGAAAAAAAGAAAGAAAGCGAGAAATTAAATAAAAATCAATTAATAATTTCTAAAGGCAAAAAAAAAAAAAAGCAATGCAAAAAAATGCTCTAAAGACTATCTGATAATTTTACCCTATTACAGGTTATTTTGCCTTAGTGAGTATACTTCTTACTTAAAGTTGCTTGTATTAACTGTGTGTGCATACTTCCTACCTCACAGAAGGGACACTCTTTGGAGGGCATCTGCAGAGCAGAGCTGTGAAACAGGGTGAGCCACACGTGCTCTTTGGGTTTCTGTTATTGTTCATCTACCAAGTGGGGGTCAAGGTTCACTGCCCTCCGAGGCCCTCTCCAGCGCTCACACACCCAGGTCCTGGGTCAGGGCCACAGCTGGCTGCAGAAGAAGGACACACACACATGCGTGCACACAAACACACACAATCTGTAATGAGAATCCCCCCCAATCATACACACACACACACACACACACACACACACACACACACACACAAAACCGCTTCTCCAAGCTACACTTTATTCACAACGAGTGGGATTTCTTTCAGAATTAGAATCACAGAGAAGGAAACTGAGATACTGGAAAACCAGGCGATCGTCCACAAAATGCTACAGGCTCTCAGGATCTCGGTGGTCGCCGTATAAAAAAAAAAGACCTAGTTCTCAAACATCCTTTCCAGTTCCACAGTCCTGTTAACCTGGTTTTCTAAAATGAAGATGCATTTCCCCGAATTCCCCAACAATTCAAAGTTTGCCATCATGTGCCCTACAGCTGGGAGACACAAGAAACTTCTGGCAGTGCCAGAGGAAGAAAAGGTTCTTAATTTGGATCAAAGTTAAGTTAATTATGATATAATGAACGTGTCAATTATGGATTCCTGGGGAAATGTGTGTGCTAATTTGATCTGTGGATTTTATTCTCCGGTCACCCCACAAGTTCTGTGGGGCTTAACGTAGGGTTTTTGCAAACACCTTCTCACACAGATATGGAACTATCATCACTGAAAACATGGTGTCATGAAAGAAAGCTCCCCTCGGGTCCCACGAGCTGCAGAGTAGTGACAGAACGTTTAATTACTTTGCTGCCTAGGCTCCTCAGTGAGCGTGTCTCTGGGGGCTGGAGCCTCAGACTCCACCATCACAGCCTGCCTTTCCCAGTTACTCCACTAGGCGGCCGGCTGCTGCAAGGAAACAAGGAAGTGAGCCGGGCTGTCTCTTGAGCTGAAAACTGAATGAAGGGAGAGAAAAGCAATTAACCATTCATCCTCCTCTCCTGGAGCAGCCCCCAGAAATCCTGAGGAACAAAGGGCGTGGTAATACAGCACAGCGCACAGAGAGGCAGCCAGCCTCCTTTCAAAGGCCCAGAAGACAACAAGGAGGCTCACAGAATCACACAGGTTCAAGCAGTATAGCAACCCCCAGGGCAAACAGGTGTGAATTTCCTATAAAGAGCCAACTGCCCTAGGTATTGGTGTTTGTTAAAAGTCACGCTGGTCTCCCTAAGTATGTGAAGAGATCAGACGTGCGAGGCAATCTTTAAACGTGTGCCTCGAGTACACTTCTGCAGACCATTCATGTCACCCAGGATCGCCCCAAACGTGTGCTGACATCCAGCCCTGAAGCCCACATAACACAGAGGGGTTCTATGAATTCTCCTTTCCAGGGAGAAAAAAAAAATTAATGATCACACAAAACCATTCCATAAAAATTATCCTCTGTTCAGTTTTTTCCTCCCAAGTTACTAGAAATAAAGCTCCTTAGGTTGATATATATGAAAAGGAAAGAAGGAAGGAGGAGGGGAGGCAGGTAAAGTTAAAAGTGGAAACTGAATTAGAATTTGAGCTGAGTGACTCTTTGAGGTTGGAACCCATGTCTTTTAGTTCCAAATTCTCAGTGATGAATAAGTGTTCCTGGTACCTGATAGAGCCTCAATAAACGAAAACTTTCGCTGGACAAAACAAATTGTACTGCTGATGCTTTTGCTTATCTTTTCAACCTCATTTTATCTAGTACCCACACAAGATTTTAATATCAGGTATTATATTACTTTAAAATAATATACTCTCAAGAATTCAAAAGAAGTAGAAAGATATCCAAATGTGAGCCTTATTTTGTTGAATAGAATACAATAAGACAGATTGCAGATACCTACAAGGACACTGGTACCAAGCTGAGACAATATCTGAAAATCCCAGTGATGGGACTCCCATGCCAATCAGCAAGCACACGCTGTGTTATCCCCACATGCCCAGGACAGGGCAGGCCCTGCACTGGACAGCGGGGCTGTCCATTCTGCTAGCTGTCCATCCGAACCATTATTAGCATCTTGGAAATGTTGCTTTCTGCCTCCGTAAGGGAGCCTGAAATCCACCTAACATGCTTTTTGTAATTTTTGAAACGGTTCAAGTGCCAGTTTGGATGGAGACCACACGTTCTTGTTCTTGAAATGAGTTCTCTGATCTCAGCCAGCAGGAGGGACCAGGTCCATCTTGCTTGTGTTTACGGTCCAAACGCTGAGTCTAGGATGTCATCAGTTACTACAAAGAAATACAGAGGCATCTTTCTGTCTCTCCAGGTTGTTCAAATGTACTAGTATTTTAAGCTTCAAACATCTCCTGGAGCTGGATTCCCAGTGAAAATTAAAATTCTAAGAAACCACAGACTGTACACAGCCATAGTCCCTAGTATTTACTTTTCTTTGGCCTCTGCAAGGAGCACACATGCGGGCTCCTCTCAGGGCAGACCTCCCGTTGCAGTGGGAAGAGCAGGGTGGGCAACCAAAGATGCATCCACACCGATTCCTGAGGAGCTGTGTGCATTTGGACAGTTCAGTCCACCTATTTGAGACTTTATTTTCTCATCTGTAAAACTAGGACAGAAATTTTCACCTGATGTGATACAAGAATTTTAAAAAAATGTATTTTTATTGATTTCAGAGAGGAAGGGAGAGGAAGAGAGAGATAGAAACATCAATGATGAGAGAGAATCATTTATTGGCTGCCTCCTGCACTCCCCACCCTGGGAATTGAGCTTGCAGCCCAGGCATGTGCCCTGACCGGGAATCGAACTGTGACTTCCTGGTTCATAGGTCAATGCTCAACCACTGAGCCATGCTGGTTGGGCTGCAAGAATTTTTAAAGTATGCAATACCTGACTATTTAGTTGGGGGCACTGGCCTCTTTTCCCTTAGCGTGCCAACTAAAAAAAATGACAATAGCCAACAAAACAACAGCTGTCCCATGTGAATAAATAAAAATTATACCTATTTATTTTTTTGTGAGATATTTGCAAAAACATTTTTTTGGGTGTGCTACAGGATTTTAGTGATTAGTTTGTGTGCCATGAGATGAAAAAAAAAAGTTGAAAATAGCTGCTTTAGGATGATAAACTAGATCAGGTGTCAGCAAAGGTTTTCCATTAAAAAGCCAGGTAGTAAATATTTCAGGCTTTTTGGGCCAATGGTCTCTGTTCTGACTTCTTACTTATGCCAACTCCACTGTTTCAGGGGTGTAGCCATAACCGCGCAGAAATGATGGGCACAACTTTTACCTATGGACACCAAAAGTTTCCTGTGTCATGAAATATTAAAAAAAATTTTTTTTTTAAAAATGCCGGTTTGGCTCAGTGGATAGAGCGTCGGTCTGCAGACTCAAAGGTCCCAGGTTCGATACCGGTCAAGGGCATGTACCTTGGTTGCAGGCACATCCCCGGTAGGGAGTGCAAGAGGCAGCTAATTGATGACTCTCTTTCATCCATGTTTCAACTCTCTATCCCTCTCCCTTCCTCTCTGTAAAAAAATCAATAAAATATTAATAAAAACAAAAACCAAAAAAAACCCCACCAACACACAGTTTTTTGTTGGTTCCCCCCCCCCCCCCCAATTGTTTAAAACTGTAAAAACCATTCTTAGCTCACAGGCCGTGCAAAACCAAGCTGGCAGCCTGTAGGCCACGGGCTTGCCCCCCTCCACTGGATGACTTCGAAGCCTCCTTTGTGGAGTCGAATAGCCCATGACTTTCTCCATCAAGGTGGCTCTCCAGCCGAAAAAGTAAAACATATCTTCGAAGGAGATATGTTTCAGTGCCAGAGAAAAGGAAAGGCAGTAGGAAGGGATGAAAGTCAGAATCCTGCGCTAACAAGAGGGGAGGGGTTAGTCCAGACAGACTTACCCCTTTCTGCATCGTGTTCCTGGGGCCGGGCGGACAAAGCACATATTCTTTGCTCCCCGAAATCCCAGGAAGCGAAGGAGACGAATACACAGTGAGTTCTTAATATTCCACAGACAGGCGGATCCCAAGAAACCGCCCTGAAGTTCAACGGGCATGTTTTCATTGAAAATTTGACTTTCTAGCAGCGAAAACGTTAATCAAATACATAAATAATTTAATTGGTGGGAAAATAGATGCATGATTAAATTCCAAACGAATCTAACATAAAGTCTTGCGAGTTGCCAGAGGCCCACGCGCCAGAAAGAGATCGATGGTGTAAATTACGGTGTTGGATGCCAACTCTCTCAGCGGGACCGCTCTGAACGCACCCTGTCTGAATAAATAGGTCAGGGGGGCCGGGACCAGGCAATGCCCGGGGAAGACTGAGTCCCACCACTGAACTTCCCATTGGATCTATTTCGCCAGTCTTCCAACAGGGATTAATTATAGGCTTTTGCCTTAGGAAACTGTTGGCTGATGAAACAGACAAAACAAACAAACAAACATCTCAGGAGCCCATAGCAAACCAACAGAATTGAGATTTCACAACTGCGACTCTGTTAGAGGCTGGATGAGCCGAGACCCAGTGTCCCTGACTCTTCCACTCTCCAGGGGCCGCAGGGCCAGAGGAAGGTGCGGACCTGACATTGAGGCAGTTGAAGGGGCTGCTTTCGTTGAAGGGCTCTCTCTGGGAAGTCCAGTCTTCAGTGGCTCCACAGAGACTGAGGCGCTGCCAGAAGGAAGACCCGAAGGAACACAGGGCAGGGAAGCCTTCCCTCCACCAGA